AATCCCAGTACTCGGGAGGCAGAGACGCCTTCAATCCCAGCACAGGGAGGCAGAGGCAGGCGGCTCTCTGTGCGTTCGAGGCCAGCCTGGTCTACAAGAGCTAGTTCCAGAACAGGCTCCAAAGCTACAGAGAAACCCTATCTCGAAAAAAAAAAAAGTCAAAAATTTCAAAGAAAACACATTATATTATAATATACATAATCCAGACTCTCTTTGTATATTACATCTTTACGTGGCTTATTTTTTTTACTCTATTACTTTTCAACAAGTTTAATATTTATTTTATTTTCTTTACTCCTTTAATTTATGACTGTCTATACTCTTTTATATTACATTTACTGTCTCTTTACTCTTTTTCTCCCCTCTCCCAAGCCTACGTACATTTATCTAACACTATGACCCATTTAGAGGTCTTTTTTATCTGAATCTGTCTTTACTGTATATCTGTAATTATTTTCTGACCAGAAGCACTTTTTTTTTTTTAATGCTAAACAGCATGGCTAGGGCCAGTATGGCCCTGCCTGCTTGCTCCACCCAGTCCAGCATGGCGGAAGCATGTTCACTGCCTCTGAGAGCCATGCACATGGCTCCATTTTCAGGCACACAGCAGGTCTATGTTGCCATTAAACAATTTGTAGCACTCTGCTCACAGACCCCATTTAAATGCTCCACAGCCAGACCTCCCGGAAGAGTCAGAGCCATCTGTGCTGGCGAACCAGGAAGCCACTGCTTTTTCGTTGAAGAATCCACGCAGTTTTTACAGCGCCTCTCTTGCAAACAGAGCCTGTCTGAGAAACTGCTGTCACTAAGAAGCTGTGCTTAACTGTTCTTTTTGTGTCTAGAATTTCTTCCCAAACTCTCTTAGATTTGAAGTGGATTTAGTTGTCCACGCTGGCGCCATTTGTTGACAGAGATTAGTGTCCTGCCGGGTCCCACAGCCGTTCAGTACCAAAGAAACACAAATAAGCCTACATTAATAACAAACTAGTCGGCCTATTAGCTCAGGCTTCTTGTTAATTCTTTCTTACATCTTAAATTAGCCCATAATTTTTGCCTGTTAGCCACATGGCTTGGTACCTTTTTTCAACTAGGCGTTCTCATCTTGCTTCTTCTGTGTCTGGGTTATGACTGCAAACTGAGTCTTTTGTCTTCCCAGAATTCTCCTGTTCTGGTCGCCCCATCTATACCTCCAGCCTGACTACTGACCAATCAGCATTTTATTAATCCAGTACAACTGACAAACCTTTACTGGTACAAGGCCTTTGTCCCACAGCATGGTGGTGCAGTAGCCAATGAATCCACTGTCTCCAGTTCTCAGCATCCATACTGGAACAGCAGCTAACAGGGACTCTGAGACCCCCCCAGCCTGCGGAGCGGCTGGGGGGGCCACCCTGCCAGCAGCAGCCCCTTGCACCTTAGGTGGGATGGCAGTTGCGGTATTTGATTCATTTCTGGATTCCCACATGTACTCATAGGCCTTGCCATTCCCGAAAGCTATAGGAAGCAATACTGAGGACCAGAGAGGGTAAGCGATTAGTCCATACTTCTGACTTTAATAGGAATTTGAGCTGCACAGGGTACCGGATTAAGAGCCAGGTAACAGCCATAACCCAGGTAGACAGGGACAAGGATGGGGAAGGACTTCTCTACATCGGTGAGGACTGTGGAGTTTACATACCCATAGGTTGAGCACACTCCGGCGGGGGCTCCCAGGACAGAGAGCAGAGATACAGGGGAGAACCATGCTGCACCTTGATCTTTGTGCTCCGCAATCTCTGGGCCTGCACTCAACTAGTTCAGCCTTCCCGAAGAACGCCATATCCACCCCTTGGGTATCTTCTAAGAGGAAAGCAGCATAGAGTCAGGGGGAAGAGGCTGCGACCTGGCTGCTCACCATCTGGCCATCCCAGAGGCCATCTGGTCAAAGCATCCAACCTCAGGCACGTAACCACCCATGACGTCATCCGACCCCAGGACTGAGGACTCCGTGGGTAGTCCACCGCTTTAGCCTCAGAGGCTCTGCGGATTTGGGACCAGATATGTTTCCTTCAACTAAACAGAGAAGCCGCAGGCAGGGTTCATGGGGGCGGCCGCGCCTCCTTCCAGGCAGGGCCTTGGGTAGCACAGGAGTCATAAAAGGACCCCGTGCTCCGCCCGCAGACACTCCCCGCGTTTATTTGAGGTGGGTAGACATGCAGCAATGCGTTAACAAGCACTTTGAGGGCTGCACCAAATGCCTGCCAGCTGGAAGCCGAGCCTGTGCTTTGTTGGAGGCTGGCAGGGCACCTGCAGGCCGGTTGGCCCTAGGTGACTTGCTGCAGGATTGGGACCCCCAGAGGCTCTGGCATTTGGGGATGTCGTCATGCCAAAGAGCGATGAGAAAAACCAAGGAGTCATGCTTGTCATCCTAGCACTTGGAGGCTAAGGCAGGAAGGATTCCTAAGGATTCGTAGGTGTTGGGGGCCAGCATTAGCAAGGCAGTCTCCAAAAAAGTATAAAACAAAGTCGGGCGGTGGTGCACACCTTTAATCCCAGCACTCGGGAGGCAGAGGCAGGTGGATCTCAGTGAGTTCGAGGTCAGCCTGGTCTGCAGAGTGAGTTATGGGACAGCCAGGGCTGTTACACAGGGAAACCCTGTCTCAAAAACAAAACAAAACAAAAATAAATAAAATAAAAATAAAGTTTTAAAGAATTAACACCAAGACAAACATCCCTGACTCTGATCATTTGTCTGTAACCAAATCGACAATTTTCTGGTTTTAGATAATTTTAGAATACGATTTTCATTTATGGAAGTAATTTCCAGGTCCAGCGCCATTGATCTCCGCTCCACCCCCACCCCACCCCTAGTCCAGGGAAGCCACGCCCTCAGACACCGCCCATCGTGACGTTAGGTGGCGAGACAGTGACGTCACAGACACGGCTCCGGGCTGGCGCCGCGGAGACCGCCACGCGTCTCCATGGCAACGAAAGGGCGAGACCCCGTGGATTTCGCAAGCCCCGCCTTCACAAGGGTGGGGCTGCTGATGGTACTAGTCACAGTTCAGGTACGCTCCCGCGGCCACCTGTTTCTGGTGCCCCTCGGGGTCCGCCAACAGGCAGCTCGGCTTGCCCGCAAAACGCGGCAGCCGTAGTGCGGCGAACCCTCCCTTACCCACAGGCGCCGTCGCAAAACGGCGTGCCCGCTACTCTGCTCCGCCCCCCGACACGGTAACGCTCTGCTCCCGCCTTCAACGCCCGCCCACTAGCAAAGCTCCGCCCACTACCGTTACCCGCCTCTCCTACCTCAAGGCCACGCCCCTCCCTTGTGGTTAAAGCTTTGCGCCCACTTTCAAGCCACGCCTCCACCCTGTCGTAAAGCTCCGCGCTCGCCTCCCAGCCACGTCGTAAAGCTCCGGGCCCTCCAAAGTGACCATGCTGATATTGTCGTAAAGCCACGTTCCGCGCCTTAAGACCACGCCCCACGCCATTGTAAAGCGACGCCCCTTCCTAAAGGCCCCGCCCCTCCCTATG